GCCCTTCCCACCACTCGCTTTCTATTGTTATGCAATAAACTTCTTTTGTTAGGAAGGAACAACAAAAAAAAATGAAGTTTAAGTCCCCCACTGGTGGTCCTGAAACTTTGTGGCCTCTCTCATGACACCCATGCACACGACAATGTTCAAATACATCCTTAATCTTTCTTAGGATAGGAATCAAACTCCTGAATAAATCAGGAATTACTTTTAGTGGAAGAGCTCTCCCTAAATTACATTTATGCAACTTGTTATTACATTTCACATAAAGTATCCGAGAGGATTATGGGAAATAGGATAGCACCTACTGTAGGTATCTATTTCCCATAGAAACTATTATGGCAAGTTTATTAGCCCATCATGGTTGTAAATAATGAATTCAATTCAATATTTGGGGTTACCTGGGGTTTAAATTGGTACTGATCTTAGTCTAATGTTTCCAATTTCAGGAACTGAAACATTACTATGTGCCTTTGCCAGCATGCAAAATGTTAATCTTGATAGATTACATTAATCTTTATAGAGAGCACTTTTTGCTCCACTTATATTTCAGGATCTTAACTCCTCAACATGAGGATGCTTTAGCTCTTTATATTGAGAACACTGCACATTTATTTTAATTGGATAACTGAGCTTTTCTGCTTACTGAGCTGTCTGCCTGACATCTGCAAAATGCAGCTTTTTTTTTTCTCTAACATAACCTAACTGTTCATTTTTATAAGGCCTGTCACCAAAATGCAGAACCTAATCCTTAATTAGTTGTCATATTTGTTTAGATGTTATACATCATCCATTGGACTGAACTGTTTGGTTTACTGTCCTTTCGTAATGTCCATTAAATGATTATTTTTGCATTCACTCATGATTTATTTAACAGTTTTTCTGTGTCCTGAACTCCTGACTTACAGGCCTTCTGCTAAAGAATGGAATCATTGAATTGGTTAGGGATGCAGGCTGCCCAGGCAATGTATGGGTAAATCAAAGCTAACAGGAGGCCAGCTAAACCCAGCCATAAGCAGTGCTGAGAAGCAGACTGGAGTGCTGTAAGGTACCTGAAACACAATGAGCTTTTCCCCAGTTTGGATTTTCAGCTGTAAATCTCTTTCGGAATCAGGAACCTACAACAAGCCAGCCTGTCTCATGGGAAAGAGAAGGGACTCTTCGCCGTCATCCGATCCCTGTTAAGCAAGCAATGGCGTCATGGAGGTATGTTTGTTTTCACTCTGACTGATGTGGAACAGGGACTGGAACCCAGGGCAGAGTCCCAATAAACAGACTATCAAAGAAGTGTTTCTCAATGACTAATTATTTAAGTAAAATAGAAGGTCTACATGGCAGCTACATATAGAAGAAAACCACTCCTGTATTAAGTTGAGCCAAGAGAAGATTTTTTTAAAACCATCTCCCACATATATTTGTGAGTGCTTTGAACACGGTTTCAGTGGGCATGGCAATCAATCACCTCTACCTCCCTTTCCACCAAAACTCTTCTTCTCAGTACCCCTATCTAACTGGATACTGCAGACCACATAAACCATGATTGCGTGACTTGAGCACCCTGGTAGGACGTTAGGTAGGATAGCATCTACTGGAGAGACCTAAACAGGAGCTCCTGGCCCTGAATGCCGCTTGACTGGACACCTAAAATGACACTGATGTTTCCAGGTACCTTCATCATGGATCTAGAAGTACTTTTAATCTTTTTCCTCCCTGTGCTAATCTCAGTCTTACCTCATCAAGAGAAAAGATTCAAATTGACGATATACTAGCATATACTACCTAGATTTTTTCCTGATCCTAGCCTGTGTCCATTGTGCTTTTTGTGAAGTGCTGCAAGACAATTATTGGTATGCAGAGCACTAGGGAAGGGCTGGAGAGGCATAAAAGCTGCTGGAGAACAATTTCCCTTTCAGTTAAAAAGCAAACATCTCCATTGCTGTATAAATCAAGTCACGTGTTGTACGAACTCAAGTTCCAGTCTGGAAAGACTTGGCATAAAGCTCATGTTATAGTGAGAGGTGAAGCGTATGCCCTTTAGGAATAACTGAAGTATTATGATAAACTTTCATAACACTGGTAAGATGACTGTTTTTCATGACACTCATAAATTCTTCAAAGACCTCCCAAAATCATTGTCTCCTTTCTGATCTCACCTCCCACTCAAGTCTTCTCTTCCCACTGAAACAAGGTTGCTTTTAATTTTTATTTTTTTTACCTTCTTTTCTCTCTCCTCCACTTACAAAAATGATGATATTTCAGCTGTACTTTAGGGAGAAAATCATTTGCATAGCCTTTTTTTTCCTCACACATCTGTACTGTAAAACTGAAAAAATGTGGCAATAGGAACATGTCAAACTTGCAAAAAATCACTTGAGGTAAGAAACAGCAATACAGCACAACAGCAATTCAAACTGAGGACAAAGTTCCCAGAAAGTTAAAGAAAATTAAATTCTACTTAAAAAACTCAACATTTTACCCAAGTAGGAAGCTAATAAACAACCTGCATGCCCTGAAAGATGACCAAAGACAGAATAGTACAGAGACAGTTCTAAGATTTCCTAAAAAGTTTCAATTCAATCTTTGCTAGACAATTAAAATTGTATTAGAACTTTAAATAACTGGGAAAATTTATACCCTGAAAATAAAAACCCTGAAAAGCTTACTGCATTTTCCTTTTTTTCTTTTGGTTACACATGTTGCTTTGCTTATTCTCTGGCCAATTGTTCAATAATAAAAAGTTTTTATCAATTTAGCATGTGTTGGCTACTTGGCCAAGAAAGGAAGCACTACTGCATTAAATCCTAAATAATGATAGCAGACAACAGACAGGTGAATCCAACCACCAAATTATGTGGTCTTTCCCATTCTCTATGTGTGTCCCACTCACATTTATCGATTCACATGCTTCTCACCTTCCTTCCATCCAAACCTTACTCAGTATTACTACCTTTGTCATTTCATTCAGGCACCAAAGGAAACACTGTGCATACATCCCTCATGCACAGTGTGGAGGAGAGTACACTTGCACATTTAGTGCTCACATTTCATATAAAGGTATAAAGTAAGCCTAACATAATACCTCCCCACCATTCCTGGCAAACATCAGGGTTTCTTCTCTTTACCTTCCCAGAAGGATCCAAGCACTTTCTAGAGTAAAGCTTGCTGCTAAACTGCAAAATATGCAATATTTAATCCCTTATCTTTATGTCTTCTCTTCCTCTGCTAAATTACAGTATAACATGAAGCCAAGTAGAAGAGTCACATAAGTCTGTTGGCATGCACATGATATGATTAATGGCACATTAAACTCATCAGCCTTATCGTGACCTGTTGGACTGATGGGTAAGTCCAGACCTAGAAGCATATAGTCATCTTTCCTGTGGCTTAGATGACAAAGACAAGAAGGAGCCTTCTAGAACAGCTATCTTTCCTTCCTCCCCTGTACTTGAAGGTGCATAGAAATAGCAGCTGTCCATGAAAAAGACAGCTAAACCAAAGGCTGACTCCCATCCATCACTGGAGAGAAGTGGTGCAGAGCCCATCTGAGAGCAGCAGGCAGAGACTTACTAGTAACTGCCCCCCTGCCCCCAGCAGCTACAGGCACATTTCATCTCAGTGGTATTTTTGTGATCCTCTTAGATGAAATGTCCTCTTTAAATGCAGCCAGTTTGGAAAATTCCTTTTTTTATTTCCTGCAAACAAACCCCAATTCTTCCTCATGTATCACACAGCGTTGCCTGAAGAATACATCTGATACTGGATTAACCTTGCCTTTTCAGGAAGCAAACCTTCAACTCAGTCCCGTGCTGAATCTCGTCGCTCTGGCTGAAAAACAGCGGCAGCCAAGCTTGGACCCACTGATGAGGTTATCGTGCTCTCCCGTACACGCACGCAGACGGACACACACACACACACACACAGAGGGAGCATCCCCGCTCCCTGCCCCAGCCCGCACTCCCTGGGCGGGAGGGCTGGGCACTCAGGGCAGGCACGAACCTCAGCGGGCTCCTCTGCCCCGCCAGGCTCCCAAACACCACTTCCAGGCAGGAAAAAAAGCTGTGAATCTTGTCAACAGCACCTCTGTTTGTAAGTGTATCGTGTACAGTATAGATGGTGCAACGGTGGAGAGTTCTTCGACCAACACAGTAAAAAAGAAAAGCAAAACGACTTTGAACACCAACGTATTTTTTACCTTTTCAGACTAAGCTTTTATTTTGATATTACAAACCATTTTTCTTTATTCACAAATCACGGCTGTGATATAAACACTAATTTCTAAAGACAGATATACACATTTTCTGGGTTTGTAGGGTGTTGGGTTTTTTTAAATCTGTTTAGAAGTCACTATATTCCACATATGGTAGTAATAATTTTTTTCATAAGTCATATTATCAGTAGTTATTTATATAAGTGAAAACATTCCCAATATATATCGTAAAAAAATTTCAAATGCTTTTCTTACATAACTATTTCAGACATACATTTTAAAATGACTATTAGGAGTACCGTAGGATCTTTATAAACAAAATATTTTCTAATATGGGCTGCACCCTCAACCTTTCAAGATTATTTTGATAGACTAAAACGCCATATAATCATTGGGAGAGTGGGAGTTGCAAAGCCATCTCACAAAAATCAAAATTGCAAATAAATTCTGTTATTCCCCACGTTAGACATTTTGTGTGTGCAATTCCAAAAAAGATGTATCATCCACACTTTGAATTGGAAGCCTAAGATTTGGTAAACATTTTTCAAGTTGCTTTTTTTGTGGTCTTTAAAGGAAGCATACTTTTTTTTTTTAATATTAGGAGGCTTGTTTCGTATATCTTACATAATAAATGTGGGGATTGAACTCTTAAGAAATTTCAGTTCATTCCCTCACCAGTATAAATATATGTTACTGCCCCATTTTTCATCAATATAGTCTCTTTCTCTCTCTGTTTCAATTTTAAAGATAATTTATTTTTCATTCTTAAGATATAAATGCTACAGAAACTTTGTTTTCAAATCTTGTGAAACTTTATTGATGGTTATTGTTCAACTGATCATACTGCATGCACATACGATGACAAAGAGAAAGCCTGATCACAAACACTTTTCTTAAAGCAGAGTTGTTATAGCAAGTTGGCAGGTTCACAGCGGTGAATTGATAATTTACTAAGGTGCTTGCCAGTAGGCACGCACATTACACATGAGGATATAATTATCTGCAGCAAAACTGTAGCAAGACAGTTTTCTGCTTTATTTATTTAAATACAAAAACAAGAAGACCCGTGACAAACACCCCAACTTAGGTTAACTTGTAAACAGGACAACATGGAAAGAGTCCAAACATATGCACAGACAAACTGCAATTTTTCAACTATGCTTGAAACCGCCACCCGGGCATCTGCTGGGCTGCACCAGCCCGAGGCCCAGACAAGCAGCCTTCTCCGCTCAGGGCTCGGTCAGAAGGAGGTCCCTCTTTTGTCCCAGTTGAAAAGTTGTCTTGGGCCCAATATTTAGCAAAATGGCCTTGGTTTGAAAATGAGAGAGGGGCGAGTTGTCATGCCTTGAAAAATTGCAGATTGTTTACACGACACAGTCATGTTTCAAAAAGTACCAAGCTGATGAAAATACCATGATTATCTCTACTCAATGATTGCAATACTTGTAAAATGCTTATATAAATCTGAAGATGATTATCATATAATTCCATAAAAATGATACGTCTGTCTCTAACAGTTGG